CTTAATCCTATATTTGAGCATGATTGCTTTATTCTTTTCGACTTTGATTTTTTTTACGATAAATCTTTTTGTGGTTATGGTTAACTAAGGAAATTACTGCACGTCAACTTTGGTTCGAGAGACTACATAGCCTCTTCAAACCAAACAAGATCGAGAAGTGAATCTGGCAGCGAGGGCTACGTAGCCTCCAGTTATAGCAGAAATCCAAGCAACCACAACTGCTCGACAAGGATTCTAAATTTTCACAAAATTTGAAGAACGGCCCCTAATGGTTTTATTATTTATACTCTGACGCTAACTCTTCTGATTGGGCAGCATGGTCCCTGGACTGTCAAAGAACATATTTGGACAAAATTCTCTTTAACTAAGATGAATTTCTGATTCAGTCCCTTTGAATATTATTAACCATTCTTGCTTCTAATGGTTTCATTGTTTTTCATACAAGTCCTGACTTAATAGCAGGGGGTGACCTGGTATCTCAAAGGTCCCATCTCCTCGAAGAGAGTCTCAACTTCCTCAAGACTTGCGCTCAAGGCTACTCGGTTGTTTCCGACAGTACAAGCTGAAACACTCATTCCTACATAATTGCACGAGGCGCAGGCTTTAATGACAGATAAATTATCGTAGCCTTCTATCATAAATAAGTCCTTGTCATACATTATTGCCTTCCGAACTTATTCAGTTTGAAGGTGACAGATTTATGTCTCAAACATCATTATGCATAAATACACAAGCTATGCCTCTCTGAGCCTATTGTTGCTACATAATCGTAATAGTAACATATCGAACGTATTTTACCTGATTAGGTTTCTTACATACTTATACGAATCAATACCTCTTTGTCATCACAACAATCATGAAGGTTTTTGAAAAGTATTTCAATAACATTACAAATTCAATTGCATGCACAGCTACTTGATTTTGGGATACTACTTGCCCTACTCTTGAATGAGAACATGACATTCACATGCTTACTTCATTTTAAGCCGTATACAATTCTTATATGCTCACTAAGGGTCCAACTACCCTATTATTAGAACAACTAATGTTTTGTCCAAAGTGAACAGCTATGCAAACATAGCTCGATTATTCGAGGGACAGAGGGCACATACTGCCGTGATCACACAAATCGTCCCTGTGACAAGAGTGGAGACAACCTCCTCGACTGATTTGAAAAGAGATAAGTAGCCCTAAACTTACTCGTACCATAGTTTTAACTGGACTTCTATAACGAATGCAATTCAGTTTATGCTCTCTAAATTACACAATGCCTCCCTTGAGATAATCCAACAAAAAATGTGTAGTTACGATAACTTGCCCGAACTTGGCACAGTTGTACTACTTGGCATAGTTGTACTACCTGTGATCTGCTCGAACAACTCAGATAAGTGTTAAGTTTGTTCCAATTTTTCACTGTGGGATGTTTCACTTCCATCCCAAGACTCATACATTAAGCATTTTATCTGAAAATTCTCGCAATGGTATATCCTTCGATGTATTCATGATAACTACATGCAACTTGCATGACAACGTTCTTTGATATGACACATGACTTGTACATGCAACACTAATTGTCAATTACATGCTCTCCAGATACTTGACCTTTCAAATAAACTGTAAATGTTTGAAAATATCACACATACATATTTTTGTGTCATCCCCTGATCCACTCAGTTGATTCATCGAGGTTGAGATGGACTCATAAATCGAGGACCAAGTTTCACTGAGTTAATCGTTAACCTATTCTGCATGCATGCAATGTGTGAATTTGCTAGTTTTTGTATACCTATATTTACGATGAGCCATTATCTAGCTCCCACATGCATCAATTCTTAAGATAGAATCATAGTCATGACACCTATGCTTTCTCGAGTGGAGTTTGATTGCTATTTACAATCTAGGTCTTGATCATAGCACATCATGTTGTTTGCCTCCATACTTCTCAAAAAGTTGTTAATCCATGATCTTGAGAAACACTAATGACACATTAGACATATGAGTTTCTTGGACCTGTTCAATGTCCTCGAACTTTCACATGCAAACTTCTTGCACGAAAAGCAGAGCTTCATGGTCATACTTCAAGAGTTCTTGGTATGGTTCAAAGTCCTGATGGATGCTCAGTTGCAAGTCTAAGTGCAGATGAAACTCTGAGAATTTGGAATGTATTTGGAGACCCTGAAGCAGTAGCAGGCAGCTAAACTTGAGTGACCATTTGCTGATTTTCCGGGTATTAGATAGTTTTAGTTTGCTGATCATGTTGGAAAACACCAATTTTCTTTGAAGTGTTAGATGGTCGCAAGTGCTCATATCATGAAATGTAAATTGTTTTTGTAGTTGAAAGGCCTTATTTAAGAAAGAATTATTTTGTTTCTTTCTTTATTAGTATTCAGTGATAAATGGTTTTGTCCTTGGTTTATGCTTCCCATTCAATTCCAAAAGGAAGCATTTTTAAAGAAACCTTACGAGCAAATTAATGTTCAGCTAAAGAAGCTCTGTTGCATTTTGTTAGTTTTGAAGAATCTCTTAAGGCTCTGTTTGGTTGGATTTAATTGGATCCAAGAATTGGAATTGGAAACCTCCAGTTCTAATTCTCGTGTTTGGTTGATAAAAATAGAACTTGTAGAATTAGAATTATAATTCAAGAAAGGGTTCAATTCTTTATTTTTAATTCTTTTGTGGGAGCAAATAATTACAATTCTAATATCATAGTCTCTTTTGTTAAAAAATTTCGCGGGTCAAAGAATGGGTCAAACCGGGTTATAACAAAACGGGTCACTCCTCTTCTTTAGTCTTTATTAGGCTTTAATTAATTTTTTTTTTCTTCTTGTTTTTTACTGCTGCCACTTCCTGCCTCCGTAGTCCCTCCTCCCCTCCCCATTCTCTCTCCTATTTTTTTTTCTCTCTCTCATTTTTTTGTTATCTATGTAACGGAAAAGAAAACCTTGAAACCGCCAGCTAATTCATTTTTTTGTTTTTTTTCCTTGCTAGGCAGGCATTGTAGCATTGTTTTTCGTTTTCTCTTTTTCTTCTTTTTGTCTGACTAACATATAGTAAAATTAATATTGTATTTTTTGACAAAAAAATTTCAAATATAATTATACCCAGGCCGTATTAAAAAAATAATAATTAATTGTATTAGTGTTAGGTTAAATTTATTTATTAGCTTTTAGGTTAATTTTTTTGAAGTTGTGGCTCGGTAAAATCGGTTTAAATTTTTTTTGAAAATTTAAAAGATATTTCTATTTGTACAGTGTTATATAAATAAAACTTTGAACTACACATGACATTTGTCACTAAAAATTATATAAGTTTTCCTTAATTTTAAATATGTGTTTTCATGTATATAATGCACTAAAAAATATATAGTTATTAGCATATACAAAATGTTAATAATGAATATATATTATATATGTGTGTGTGTGTGTATGTGTGTGAAAATTAATATGTGCGAACTGATATTTATAAAATAATAAAAAGCAAAGGAACAAAGATGTTCTACATGTTACCTGTGAGAATTCCAATCATCATATTAATATTCCTTACGTAATAATAATAAAAAAAAAGGTTTCCACAAGTATGTATGTATCTAGTAAATTAAAAATTGATATATATTACTCAGACAAAAAAAGTTCTAATATAAATGTACATAATAATTTTTTTTTATCTTATATATGTAAGTAAACAAGTAATAAATTGCTTTGATATATAAAATTAAGTATTTCTTTTATTCAATCAAATAAAGTACTAACTTATAGTTAGTTAATGAAAAATTAATTCTAAATCTATATTATAAATTTATAAGGATCCAAACACAAGAATTGGTATTAGAACTTTAATTCTTGTCAATTCTTAAGATCTTCCAAACAAAGGAATTAGAATTAAATTATAATATTAATATCTCATTTCCAATTCAATAGTATTGTAATTCTAATTCAATTACAATTCAATCTAACCAAACAGAGCCTATATAAATGTAATTGCAGGTTTAAATGACAGAAGTTTTTATATGAGGAAGAAAGAATTAACCAGTAGCTGGAGACAAGGCTCATCCAGTTCATATATCCTGTGGATGATTATACTCATGAACTCTTTCTCGACAAGTAAGTTTTTCTTCAAATAGAGTTAGAAGAATGTAATCTTGTGAGGTTGTTTTCCCAGCAGAGTTCGAAAGAAGAATGCAATCTTGTATATTAAGTTGTACCAGGGATGTTTGCCTCGAAACTATGCTGAAAGGCCAGCATTTTTATCATTATTTCTCCAGGCATATAACTTTTTCTGTTCAGTCATATTTAATTACATTGGAAATGCTATTTGATTAGCCATTCTGTGTTCAGTTTCAAAGAGTAGGGGCCAGGAAAGGTATGCCTTTTGTTGAATTTGGTGTAAAACTAATAGCTGATTGATAAAGCTTTTTGAATCCTCTGTTTCTTTTGTCCATGTTGCATCAGGCATGTTGGTTGTAAATGAGGTAACTTTGAACTATATTGATTTCGGGTTTAGTAAAGGAGCAAATTTATTTCGGCAAAATTTACCTATATAATTATAGACTATCTTGAACTAATATTTAACTTCAAATTCCATATTGAAATACATCATTTGGTTACTAGCTCCATGTTGTTCTATCCATCAGCTTCCTGCTCATATGTCTGCAGATTAACCAATTCCAAGCCTTTTTTAAATACAGGCTGAAGAGTCCACTGAATAGCTCTAAATTAAAGGACAACAGGCATCTCATGGTGAGTTGCCTTGATGTAGGCTAAAGTCTTCAGTCCATCATTTCTTCATAATGATGTCGGCATGAAACAACCACATCGTTGAACGGATTATATATTTAGTAACAAGTTTCTGAAGTAGGAATTTCCTACTGCTAGATTGAAATGTGTGCCTGGTTACCATTTTTCTTGTTTTTGTTGTGTATCTACATTTCATATGTTGCTTCATTCCAGGACTGACTTGTTTTTATTCTGATCATAACAGGCCTGGTGAAGATAAATATTGAAATGACTCACACTCAAAAGTATGCGACTGATCCGTGAGTAGCCAAGTACGGTGACTTCTTTCATCACTCATGAGAAAGTCACAAGAACCAGAACAGTAAGCATTCAATGTTATCAGTCTAATAGCTTTCCAGAGGGTGCGTGAGATTTATGTACCTCAAAATTAAATGGGTAGAAAGAATAATTCCTAGGGTTAAAAGTGTAGAAATTTATGTGTTTCTTGCATTTGGCATATGAAAAATAAAAAAACATTCGCAATTCCCTAATGTGAACAATTTTAATTCGGTTTTTAGTTACTTAAACTAAGCCAATATTAACAGAAGAAGTAAAAAAAATATTATGTTGAACTTTCGCATAAAGGAAATGCGAAACGTTTATATATTTAAATATTTCTACGAATGACACGGGTGCTGTTGACGCTTGAAAATTTTGTGTGGGAGAAAAGAAAGATTCGCATATGTCAAATGCGAAAGTTTTTATTTTATTCAAAAATATCTTATGACTCAATGTCAGATTTTTAGTCGCATTTGACCGAAATTTCGCATTCATCGAATGCGAACATATAATTTTTCGCATACGTCGAATGCGAAAAAGACTTTTTAACTATAAAAATCTTATTGGCCAATCTCTTGTGGACACGTGAAAGGAACTGGATAATTATTCGCATTTCAGAAAGGTGAATGTGATGTTTTTCGCATATGTCAAATGCGAAAAAGACTTTTTATCTATAAAAATCTTATTGGCCAATCTCTTGTGGACACGTGGCAAGAACTGGATAAATATTCGCATTTCAGAAACGCGAATGTGATGCAAGTATGTTATTTAAATTCCTCGCTCTCTTGAAACGGCAGAACAAAACCCATACCAATAATTTTTTTCTTACATTGAGCCTAAAGTTTCATCCCCGAGAGTCATTTGGATAGAGGCATTGTATCAGATTGAAAGTTGGCAGAAACGGGAGCAATTGGACGGAGAAAAATGGGCTAGAAACGAGAGGAATTCAATGGTTTGAGAATTGGAGAAACTATTTAGGTATGTTGTTTTGATGTTAATTTTATTGAAAATTTATAGTAATATTAATGGTGTTTTGATGTGCGTAATTATTAAGTTATAGTTTAGGTAGTTTATGAGAATTGTTAGTTGAAGTAAATATTGTTATGTATATATTTGATGTAAAATCAAGAATAGAAATTCTTGTTGTGATATAAAATTGTAGAATTCCATCGAATATTATCTGTTCTTTTGCTAATTTAGAGAATGACCCGGCTGATCTCGAGTTTTGTCTTTATCCCTCAATTTTGTGTATTTGATATTCTGACCCAATTATTTGTAATGTTACTGATTTGATCCAATTTTTTTATTTTTGTTTTTTTAATTTAGTTAATTTTATATTTTATCGTTAATGTCGAGTGATAAAATCATCAAAATTCGTTGAATAAATTTAGTTTTAATTGATCAAATGCATTGTGTAAATATAAATTTATTTATTTGATCAAAATTTGTTCTTAATTTAATTGAAAATTTTGTTATGTAGATGTTGCATTATATTTTTGAATTATTAAATTATGTTAGAGATTTTAAAGTATTTTTGGACTTATTGTACCTATTATTTGGAGTAAATACTGCTAGTGAGGTAGAATATTGTTATAACAAACATGAATTGGTGTATTTGTATGTTTAATTCAATAAAAAAAATTGAATGTGCAGGCCCTTAATATGTCTTTTCCAGGTCCCTTCGATCTGAATATATTAAGGTCTAGTGATCGATCTTGTTGAGGAGATGGGGATAAGTTATTTCCGCCAGATGCAATAGTTCGTATCGAACGAGTGTGGAGTTTCTCTGAACTTGATAATTATGTACACAGTCTGTTGGAATCTGAGGACCCAAAAATACTTCCTCTGCAATATGTTTTGTACTGCACAGATAGGTACGGCACAAGGGGACAAGCCCCCATAAGAGACGACGAGTTAATGTCATGGATTTGCCGAGGTGCCCATTTGCGTCCAGCATTGTACGTAGAGGTTGCAGATGAACCTGTTCAAGATGTTGAGGAAGGAACTAGTGGTGGTCAGTATGATGGTGCAGGGACTAGTGGTGTTGGTGGTACAAATGAAGATGGCGATGACACAGAAGATGACGTACAGGGAAGCAGTGACGAGGAGTATGTGCCGTCCGATGAGTCTGATGATGATTACAGTGACCATGACGCATCTTCAGTAGTACCTTCTATTTTCGACGACATCAATGACATGGACAAGTCTGAACTAGATGAAGATTCTGATGGGATCACAATATGGGACAGTAATTGGCAGACGGTTAGACATGGTGTACATTTTGCTAACAAGAAAGAGGTACGAACAGCTGTCGGGGAATGGTCATTGCGACAGGGTCAGGCATGTCGGGTAAAATATAGCCGTCCCTATTCATGGGCCGCTGAATGCTAGACTAAAGGGCCGAAGTACCCAGAAGAACTTCTCCACGGCACTACTTGTTTGTGGAAATGTCGAGCTACCCTACAAAAAGACACAAATACTTGGAGAATGGTGGTATGGATCGAGAGCCACAACTGTCTTGGTGAACCACAAGAAACGAAGCTCGAAACTTGATGTCCACAATGATTGCTCGATTGATCACAGCCAATGTCCGAAAAGATCCAGGTTATTCAGTTGCGCAGATCCAAGTCGAAGTAAATAAGAGATACAGGGTCACCCCCAATTACAAAAAGGCATGGCATGGTCGAAGAAAAGCACTTGAGAGTCTGTATGGCACATCGGAAAGCAACTTTCAACAACTGCCCAGTTTTCGGGAAGCATTGCTCAGAGCGAACCTAGATACCCGTATATAGCTTAAGTTCACTAAAGATACCAAGAATCGGAAGAAGAAGGTATGCAGGTACATTTTTTGGGCATTTGGGCCAGCTATACATTTATTTAGAGCTGCTTGGCCGGTCATAACCGTCGCCCGCCTCCGAGGTTCATACAAGGCAAAATGGATCGTGGCATGTGTGAAGTGCTTGAATAACACCATTGTTCCCATCGCATTTGCCCTCGTGGATGAAGAGACATTGCATAGTTGGAAATGGTTCCTCAAATACCTGAAAAAATTTGTTCTACTTGACAAGGAGACCTGCATTATCTCTGATCGCCATATGGGTATTCTTGCTGCTATGGATGTTATTCTTGATAAATTTCCAGGGATGGGAGTGCACCGTCATTGTCTGCAGCACATCAAAGCAAATTTAGCTGGCAATTTTCCTGGGCAGAAACTCAAAAGACCTTGTCAAAGGGCTTGTTCAATGTTGCAAAAATGCAAGTTTGAAAAAGAATGGATGAATTTAGAAAGTAAAAATAGAGATGCAGCCATATATCTTCAGCAAATCGGTCTTGAGAAGTGTACCCGTTATTGGGACGGGAGATATTGTTGGGGAGAAATGACTTCGAACATATCCGAGAGTTTTAATAATGTCTTAAAAGGTTGCCGGATGCTCCCTATCACTACTTTGATTCTTGCAACATTGTATAAGACTAATAAGTTGTTTTAGAAAAACATAGATGAAATTGACAAATGCCATTCAACCCTCGCGACGAATCCCATGAAACGGTATGACGAATACCCTATACATCAGATTGGCCACGAGGTTACCAGATTTAGCAAGAGGAATCAGAAGTACCAAGTGGTCACATACTCACCACCTGATCGGCCATGGAAGGGTGGAAATATCCATGAGGTAAGCTACGTCGCCAGGACGTGCACATGTAACAAGTGGCAGACATACAGGTTTCCTTGCTCCCATGCGCTTGCTGTTGCCAGGTTTCTACGTCATGATCCATTACCCCTTTTTGATTCATTTTATAGTAGGGAACAATGGGCTATTCAGTTTTCTAGAGAATTCAACCCAGTCCTTCAACCATGGCCACAGGCAATGTGGCAGCTGAGGCCTGATGATACATTACTCGTCCACCATGCTGGCTCAGGTCGGAAGCGTGTGAATCGAAAGAAAGGACTTATGGATTATACGAAAAAATCTGGCAACAAGAGAATTCAAGTTTGCGGTCGATGTCATCAAGAAGGCCATAATGCCAGTGCATGCGCAGTTGAGAAAGTTTGCGCGCGATGTGGAGGATTTGATCGTGATACCTTCAACTGCCCATTCTCACATCCATCTTCAGACAGGATTCCTTTGAATCATGCTTACGATCGATATGGAATGCATGGTGTACCCCGTATGCAGACTGATGATTCTGATGATCAATCTTCAGAATTCTGAGTAAAAATTGAAAGTTTGTGTTTGCGTAATAATCTGAAAAATCTTCAAGTAGTAGTTCTGTTAGTGTTTGTGTTTGTGTAATGGTGTGATTAATTCTGAGTTTGTATTTGTGTAATAATTCTAAGAATTTTGAATTTGTATTTGGGTTTTGGTTTGTGTAATAATTCGAACAATCTTCATGTCTATGTTTGGATTTGTGTAATAGTTTAAAAAATATTAAATTTGTACTAGTGTTAATTTTGTGTATTGGTGAGTATCGGAGCGTCAGTGGCATCCAAATCGGAACAAAACTTTGATGCTTAAGTACTAAACTTTTAGCAATTATATAAATGCAGTACCTCGTGGAATTGATGTCGGCTGTCGGAGAACGGCTTTTGTTGTCGTTGATCTGTGAGATTAATGAGGAAGCGGAAGAGGAGGCCTTGAACTCTCTTACTCCATGGAATGAGATGAAGATTCAACCTAATTACATCTGTTATTGCTTTGGAATTAGGAATAAGAGTGGATGGATTGATGAAAGCAACCATCGTAGATCCACGTATTATACCCATACTTACAGACTATGAAGAACACCTGAACGAAAATGAAGAGAAAAATTACTAAAAGGAAAGAGGAAATCGTTGATGGAGGAGAACAATGCTAGCGCTGCTCCCTTTGAAGTATATAGATATTTTGACATAAACTACATAGATATGGCTTGAATTTTAATTTTACTAACTAATAATTCAATGTAAAGATTGTTAGGATTTAATGGAGTTTGTGTTGCTGAACTTATCCATCCGGAGACTTTTTAGGAACGAATTTTAAGTTGATTCTTTTGAAAGGAGTTTACATTCTGAAATTTGGGAGAAATTGATGCTTAATAGACCTAAAAATTGGGGATTCCATCTGTATAATTTTTCTTATTTAATTTGACAGTCATTGTAATAGGTAATTCCATTTATGTGCTTTATTTACAGAGATAATTCCGGATGATTCCGTTTACGTTTTAATTTTGCTTATTTATGACTCTGAATCAATCTCCATAAATAAGCGTTTATATCCCAAATTTTACGGACAAATTACGGGTTTCCCTAATTATTATCTTTACATTTAAACTGACGGGAATTTTTTTTAAATTTTTTTTTTTGCGGTTCAAACAGTCTATTTTTTGGTTTCCTTGAAGCATCTTTTTTCTGCCTTTTCAGCACTCCACGTGGCAGAAATCATTTTGTACTAAAAAAGGTCTTTAATGGAAAAATTTTCAATATGGAACTGACGCATGTACTTCTTATATGTTGTTTTAATTAAGTACTATAGATTCTGGCCAAGTATAGCAAGTTTGTTGCATAATGCATAACTGTAATAATTAAATTAGTACTTATGTTCTTTTACATTCGGAATTGCAAATGATTCCATTAATTTAGATTTTAGATAAAATAATAAAAATACATAAATTTCTCAGGGAAGTGTAATTACATCACACAAGAATTTGGGAACGAAGTGTAATTTAAGAAAGTACTGCAATTAATTTTACGCGTATTTTCGTTATTTAGAATGAGAAAAAAGTACACGCGAAAAATATAGAATCAACCGCCTTATGGTGCCCAACCCAGGTTAACTGAAGTTAAATTAAGGTTAAACAAACTCATTACTTCCGAAAGTCGTCTTTAAATAAATGGTTTCCTAAATTCGGAGAATCCTATAAATGCGACAGTCTCACACAAACACACACTTGCGAGGGAAGTAGAAAACGTAAGAGAAAGAACAGAGTTCGTTTTATCCATCTGAAGTCTCTCCCCGCGCTCGAAGATTGTTATGTATCAGTCAAAGTGTGTGCGAATGTTTCAGATCTACACAACAATTTTAATCTACAGATCCTTTTTACGACTTTCATTCCTGCGATCGATACGACAATCGAAGCCGTTCTGATGATGAGAATGTGAATTACTAAACCCCTGGTCCTGTCGGCGTGTGATATCATTCGTTTTCTTTGAATCCCTTTCGATTTTCCTTGTGGGTTTCCTTCAAGTTTGTGGTTTTTCCTTTTTCCTTTGATTTTCTGCGAATCAGATTCAGGCCTATGTTCTTTGTGGGCTCCCCTAAATTTAACTAAAGAATGCATCTTTTTTGTGTTCCCAAATTTGGATCTTGCTAAATAGTCAATCGGGTTCTGAACGAATGAAGAAATTCAAGGTTTTCGGTGTTCGTTTGGTTCGTTATTGATAGTTCCTTACTGGGTGCAAAACGCCTCTTGAATATACTACTGTGGTGATTTTTTCCCCCTGTTCTATAACAGCAAATTTTGAGCAATTTCTGATGGGTTTCCATAATTCTGTTCCCGAATCGCAGTTCGATAGGTTTATCCCCAATCGATCAGCTACGAATTTTGATCTTGCTCGGACTGTGCTTACTGGAAGAAAAAGCAAAATTGAAAGCATTTCACCATGCCCTCCATCGAAAGCAGCTTACAGGAAGCTACTTGCGGATACATTTAATATGAACAACCCAAAAATCCTAGCTTTTAATAATAGTAAGCTAGATCCTCCACTGACAAGACTCATCGAGGAAGATTTATCACCTGTTAGGAAGCCCAAATCAGTCAGGACAATGAGTAAAATTCCAAAATCAGCTGCATCGGTATGGGATGCTCCTGGTATAGGAGATGATTTTTACTCACAGTTGATCGATTGGAGCATTGACAATGTGATTGCTATTGCTCTGGGAAATACAGTGTATCTATTGAATCTTTATTGCAATTCTGTAACAAAGTTGGCTGACTTTGAAGAGGAGGTTGGACCTGTAAAGAGTGTCAGCTGGGCACCATATGGGAAATATGTTGCTATTGGTCTGAAAAGATCATTAGTACAATTGTGTGACGCCGAATCATGTCGGTTGGTGAGGACTCTCCGAGAAGGAAACCGGAAAAGAGTTTGTTCTCTTGATTGGAATCATCACATTTTGACATCAGGTGGAAGTGATCATTTGATTGTAAACAGTGATTCCAGAATGAAATCTGACATCGTTGCAACTTACAGAGGGCATAAGGAGAAGGTTTGCGGGTTGAAATGATCAGATTCCGGCAACTACTTAGCAAGTGGAGGTGATGATAATTTGGTTCACATATGGAGTTTATCAAAGTCCTCTTCTTCTTCATCAGGTTCTGATGCCACAAATCAATGGGTTCACCGTCTTGAAGACCATACGGCTGCAGTCAGAGCACTGGTCTGGTGCCCTTTCCAAAGTCATCTTCGTTGATCTGGAATAGACACGAGCGCGAAATCATTAGCTCTCGCGGCTGGGGCAACTATCACAAGCTCCTCCTTTGGAAATATCCATCAATGGACAAAATTGCAGAGCTTGATGATCATCCCTCAAGAGTTCGTTGTTTGGCTCAGAGCCCGGATGGATATTCTGTTGCAAGCGCGAGTACAGATGAATCTCTGAGGTTTTGGAATGTGTTTGGAGATCCAAAAGCAGCAGAAGTAGCTAAGCTGTTAGAACCATTTGCTGAATTTGGATGCATCAGATAGTTTTTTGTTGCTAAAGGTTGTGATGGAAAAACACACATTTTGTCTAGTGTTAACAGAACTCTGAGCTGCTCATATCAGGAAATGTATATTGTTTTTGTAGATGAAAGACCTTTATGTAAAAATCTAATATTTAATCTTCTGTATAATTTCAGATAGGATCCAATGATGAACAACTATTGCCATTAGCGGTAGAGAGTACAATTGCCTACTGCTAACAGCTATTGTTTGTTTCTTTATGAACAGTGTAAATTTCTATTTTTTGAAAGAGTCTTAAAATTAAAAATAATTGAAAAAATAAATTAAACAACCAAAAAAAAAACATAATTCCTTTATGAATACGGGGCGTATAATTACACATCTTGCACAATTACTCATTAAGTAATTAAGTTTCTCCAAGAATAAATTTGTCATCAGTTTTATAGTACTTGTGTTTTTGGATCAATTTTATTGATGTTGTGACGTACGGTACTAGGAGTCTAGACCAGGAGTACTGTTTTTATTGGGCTTAATATGGTCAACAATGGTGGAGTTTTAGAAATTAGACAATGTCTTAAAATTTAGTTCGCCGCTTGACTAGAATACGTGTTATTTGTATCTCTCTTGTGCTTGTGCTTGAGTTATAAGTAAATGTCTTGTTTAAATTATCATTTTTAGTATATATATACTAAAAATGAAATTTCTAACCTCACGAACGGAGAGAATAATTAACGTTTTCTCTGCTCATCAACTAGTAAATAAATTTTTCGTTTAAATTATCATTTTTAATATGTTTATTAACGTGAAAATTCAAACTGTCATTCGACGGAGAAAATAGTCAACGTCCTCTCTGCTCATCAACTACTAAAGCGATCCTTTGTGCTTTCAGAATTATTCCGTCATCAAAGCCCAAATCATACTTTCGCTGAAAATGAGCCCAACAGTTTGAAATTGTACATATTCACAAAAAAAATGTTAGGTGGTAATTACAAAGTTCAAAATCCTTTTGTTTTTCCGCGTGGTTGTCCGCAAGGAAACATGCATCTATACATGCATTTTATTAATTGAGTCATTGATATAAAATGAGTGAATGAGACATCTATTTTTATTAAAGAGAAAAAGCTAATCTAAGAAAGGTTGAAAATCTAACACTCCTTCATTCATCTTCCAACGAAACTATCCAACTTTAATTCAGACTAATAATTAGATATATAGATTCAAATACTGGGTGTACTATTAAAAAAAAAACTCCCATTAACAAAATTTAATAATCTACACCAATCTTAACACCTTGATTACAGTTTTGGTAGTACCTCATTACAAAAGTCTCCAATCCACTACACGTATAACCCTTTTCTTCATCTTTTTGCTTCTGTTGACCATCTCCGGTGGTAGAGGTGAGGACACTGAAAAGTTGAAGTGTATCTTCGCCGGGCCGCCGGCCAAGGGCTACTTCCACTAATGATCAGCACTTCTTCGTAAGTAAATTATATGGGGCATTCGGAGCTCCCAAGTTAGGGAGTTCCGGGACGAGCGCGTGAATCGCACGCTTAAAAAGTCGCGTGTCAAAAAACACATACAGACGTTCCTCTCTCTTCTCTCCATCTGATTTTTCTATCGTTTTTTCTCCATCTCTTCTTCTCCTTCTCATCTTATCTTCTGTGTTTTCAATCTGTCAACAAAAAAAAGAGATTCGATCTATATCTAATTTCTAATCCCGCTGAGATTCTTATATATCTAATCTCCTCCAAAATTCTCAAAAATTCCGTTTGGTGAATCTTCGTTAGCTTGAATCTGTTGGTCCGAATTCCGAAGTTTAGATCTGCAGATTTTGGTTATTATATCATTGTTTCCAAGCAAATTTGAACAAAAATACAGTAGATCCGGCGAAAATCCTCTTACACTTTATAATTCAACTTCCATAGCTATAAATAACATGGAAAGGTGTTATTTTACTCTTTAATTTCTTCTCTTCATCGTTCTTTTTTGTTTAAATTAGGTGATTACACTAAAAATGTAGTGAAGGTATTTGATTCATTTTTCTTCATTTTCACTTGTAAACCATACTTTTTAACTTCATGTTTTATTTACAAATCAACCCGTACAATAGCTCTGTTATTTTGTTACTATATCAATATAGTATTTTTTTTCCTCTGACTAACAAAAAATACAGGCCAAGATGCACATCATAGTGTTACAGAATGAGCACTGTCCAGCACAAAATGAACATTACAGTTCTTGAGATGAATTTGAAAGTTTTTCAGTGAACTACACACATAAATTCACTTGAGAGTTTCGCAAGATGAGCAATAAGTGCGTGGAAATAAACAATAGTTGCTGGATATGAGCAAGATTGTAGTTATACAAGATTTTTTCACAATGATGGACGTTTGAATTCAAGATGAACATTGTAGTATTACAGGATGAACATTATACTTTGCTCAGTGAGCAACAAAAAAGTTTTACTAAATTTTCAATTTGATACCAAACTGTGCAAAAATTTTAATGTGTTTTTGAATTGTTATCAAGATGTTTGGAATTAAGCACACTAACCAAACATGTTTAGGTTTTAGGGAGGGTTTAAGCATTTTTGTATCGGTTAGGACCTAGTTTGTGCCGTAACACGATTAACTTATAAATTTTTTAAAACCGATTAGGCTAGGGTCTCTAATAGGTTTAAAAACATTTCAACAAAAATAAAAAAATAATTAAAAAAAATTCATCTCCGTGTCAGTTTAGGGTTTAGGGGGGTTTAAGAATTTCAATTATAGGTTAGGGACTAGTTTGCGTCGGGAAACGATTAACTTTTTAATTTTCTTCAACTGATGAGACCAGACCCTAGCCTAATCGGTTTTAAACAATTTCAACAAAAAAATATAATTAAAAAAAATTCATCTCCGTGTTGGTTTAGGATTTAGGGTTTAGGGGTTAAGGGGGGTTTAAGCCATTCAATTATAGGTTAGGGACTAGTTTGCGCCGGAAAACGATAAACTGTTTAAATTTTTTTAAACCAATTAGGGTTTACGAGACCCTAGCCTAATCGGTTTAGAAAAATTTCAACCAAAATAAAAAAATAATTAAAAAAAATTTATATATGTGTTCGTTTAGGGTTTAGGGTTTAGGGTTTAGGGTTTAGGAGGGTTTAAGCAATTCAATTATAGGTTAGGGTCTAGTTTGTACTGGAAAACGATTAACCTTTTAAATTTTTTAAACCGATTAGCTAGGGTCTCGTTTCAACCAAAATAAAAAAACAATTAAAAAAAATTCATCTCCGTGTCAGTTTAGGGTTTAGGGTTTAGGAAGTTTAAGTAATTTAATTATAGGTTAGGGTCTAGTTTATGCCGAAAAATGATTAACTTATAAAATTTCATCCAAAAAAAAAAGCAAAATAAGCGATTAACTTATAGTTAAAGATGATTGTTGAAGATGATCACTGTGTTTAATGGGAAGAACATGGTAGTTTAAACAGATGATCATAAAGGACTTTTGACAAATAAGGACCATGATTCTTAGATGAACATCGTAGTTTAACATGATGAATATTGTGTTTAACAGGATGAACATTGTAGTTTAAAAAGATGATCATACATGACATTTGACAAATAAGGACCCTGACTCTAAGATGAACATTGCAGTTAACAGGATGCACATTCGAATTGGTTTAGTGAACAACAGAAAAGTTTAATGAATTTTCTACTTTCAAAGTTATCAAAAGACATTTCAGACATTTCAGTGGCTTGTTCAGACGATGAATCTTCTTTCTCTTCACTGGCTTGTTCAGACGATGATCATACATGCTATTTGTTTCTTTGCTACTTTTTATCCTGCAAGATCATCACCACCATCTTTCCTCTTCCTTTTTCTCTCTTTGGCGGCAGATGTAGTTGATTTGGCTTTATTTTGTATTTCAGCATTCTCTTGTTGAGACGGTGAATTGTTGTGCCCTTCAATGGGTTCTGTGGAAGGGAGACTCTTGTCTGTATTGCTTCTCCTCATACTCTTATATCGCTCTCTGTTGTATGACAACATTCATAGTAATATAAGATGCATAACAATATTCCTATTTATTAAATGAACCAAACTCTCACAGGATGAAAATCAACAGTTTCACAATGAACATTTAGTAATAGGTAGTGAACATATATCCAAAAATCAACATCAAAGCATACAAGATGAGTACCAAAGCATGTAGGATGTACAAGCTAACATTTTCTATCAAGATGAACATCGAAGTATACAAGATGAGCATCGAAGCATATAGGATGAACATTAAAGCATACAAGATGAGCAACCTCACATTCTCTATCAAGATGAGTATCAAAGCATACAGGATGAGTATCAAAGCATACAGAATGAGTATCGAAGCATATAGGGTGAACAACCTAACATTTCTCTGTCAAGATGAGTATCGAGGCATACAGGATGAGCGTCGAAGCATACATGATGAACAACCTAACAATTCTCTGTCAAGATGAGCATCGAATCATACAGGATGTGCGTCGAAGCATACAGGATGAGCATTAAAGCATACAGGATGAACAACATAACAATTCTCTGTCAAGATGAGCATCGAATCATAGAGGATGAGCATCAAAGCATATAGGATGAAATAAACATATGAATCTCTGAAAAATTTACTCAGGATAAACAATACCTGTCATCTACGCTTGAGTCTGATAATGACGTTGGGCTAGGCTCTGGTGTAGTCTCTGGCGTAGCAATTTTAGCTACTTTGATTCTCATCCATCGGCCGTGAGTC